TCACATCCTAGATGGAGTGAGGGTCTCGCGACGGGAGCGGCTTATGGTCAGGATCTCTCAGAAGCTCAGGGGGCCGGCAGCCCTCCAGGGTTGCTCCTCCTTCAGTGAAGGGAGCACTGCGGACTCCTGATGGAACCAGATGGGCTGGCGGGCTTGGTTGGGGGGCCATTGTATGCTGAACACAGTGCACCTGGTGATGTGCCTCCCTCACCCAGCAGGGATTGGGCGGGGGTGATCGTTCCCGTTTCACAGATGGGAAACGGAGGCACACAACGAGGGAGGGGCTTGGCTGGGTCGCTTAGGGGTGGAATGGAGGAGTGTTTCCTCGATCGCCGCCTATAAGCGGCCAGCTGGGACGCACGTCTCGTGGCTACGTGAGCCTCAGGCCTCCCTGACCTCTCTGCCCGTGTCTCTGCAGGCCCTGGTGGACCTCCTGCTGACGGGTGGGCTGGCAGGAGCCACGGCCGTGGCCTGGCGTGGGGTGAGCCCACCGGCCGCCCGCCTGCTCTACCCGTACCTGGCCTGGCTGGCCTTTGCGGCCGCGCTCAACTATTGCGTGTGGCGGGACAACCAGGGCCGGCGCGGCGGCCGGAGGCTCGTCGAGTGAAAGCGTGCCTCGTCCGAGGACTGTGGCTGCCCGCCGGTCAGGTGGTGCCCGTGGTGGTGGCCCTTCTACTTCCGTGGCCACCGGGCCTGTAGGCGTGCCCGGGTCTCAGCCCCGGGGGCTCACCACCCGCTTCGGAAGTGCCCCAGGCCAAGCTCCTGCCCCAGAAACAGCGTCCTGTGCTCTCTGCACCTGCTCCAAGCAAGCTCTCAGAACGTGGAAGGTCATAAGGCAAATAAAGTTTTTAACCTCCTGGCGGTGGCCCTCTTACTTGGGCAGGGGCTGCTGGCTGCGGGTGGGGGCGGGAGGGACTCATCCTCCTGCGGGATCTGTCCAGGCTGCACCATCCAGACGGGGCCGGACCAGGTCAGTGCTCACCCACGCTCCTCGCGCCTCCCCCCAGACTCTCCGAGAGGCGGGGTGTCTTGCCTGGCCCAGAGCAGCCTGGGTTCAACCCGGAGCCCACACCGGCTATGCCGCGGCTTGGCTGGCGTCCGGCAGGCTGGGACCTCAGTCCTACCCACTCTATAAGCCCCCCGGGAAGCTCAGCCTGGGGCGTGGGCCCACAGTTGGCCTGGGCCAGCACCTCGGCACCCTCGGCTGGCCTCGGCCGGGATGGGGCTGGGCCTAGAGCTGGGGACACCGCCTGACCTGCCCCTTGGGTGGTGGGACTCATGCCGGCCTCACCCCACCAGAAGCAGCCTCACAAACACCAAATCGGCAGGAGGGCGTGTCAGAGGCAGTAAGGCCCGTGTCCCGGCTGTTGGGAGTCGGTGAGGTTGGCGGGGGCCCCCCCCCTCCGCCCCACAGGCAGTCTCCCCCTGGGGCGGTCCCTCTGCTCCGGCTACGAGCTCCCACATTCCGCGTGCGTCCTGCCTCTGCCGCTCGGCCACCTGGCGCCCGTGACCTGCTGTGCCTTTTGTTGCCTGGTTTTGCTTGTCGATTACCCAAATTGGCAAAACTTTGGTGTTTCGCTTGGTCATCTCGGGAGGCCGGATGCTTCGCGGCCTGTCTCCCCTTGTTCTATCCCCACTTTACGATGTCAGGAAAGCTCGGGGAGAGCCAGCTGACTGCATTGTTCTGAGAGAAGAGGCGGCTGTCTTCCGGGGCCATCGCCCTGCTTACCCTCAGCTCCGGCGGATTTTGGAGCCCAACAGACGATGCTCTGCAGGAACCCGGTAGCCTGGCATCCGGGAGCACCTTGGCCAGCTCCCCATGCTGCTTTTCTGATGCTCGTGAGAGCAGAGGGGTCAGATGGGGGACTCTTTGAGCATCCTCATTATTTCCGAAGTTCTCCAAGAAGGTCAGGGGGCCCCCTGGATGTGTCACAGCCACCCCTGCGCCTGCCAGATGTCCTGCACTGAGCTTTTTTTTTTTTTGTACTTAGCACTTAAGTGCACCCGAGACTTCTGCAGTCTTTTCTGTGATGCTGGTGCAGGCGATTTTTTGTCCCTTCCATTCACTTGTGGGTCCGTTCATCCCTAGCAATATCCCACACACTTCCTACTGGCCACATACCACGCACGGCCACAAAAATGCCTGGTGAAATAGACGAGAGGCAGATGCACTTTGCCATTTTGTTTGCTGGCTTTCTTGTGATGCTTTCCCCTCCTCCCACCCCCTTCTTCATACACAGCGTTCTCTTCCTTTCTGAGCTGTTGTCATCCACGAGGAACGTCAGGGTGCTGGCAATTTCCACGTTCGTTTAACAGGAAAACCCACACCTCATGGATGGGTCACGTCCTTCTGGGCTGTGCTCTTTGCTGGAGCTACTTCGTGCCGTTGAAATCTTAAATCTGGGCGTTTGTCTCCTTCTGCAGCTGACTGGCCATAAAGGACACAAGGCCATTCCCGCAGCCCAGGAGGGCTCGGCCGACCGTCCGCAGGGGCACAGCAGTGACTGGGTGTGAGCTGAGTACTTTAACGTGTGGTCGGCCACTCTGAACCCCGCAAGTGGAAGCCTCGTCTCTGGTGCTAAGAGGTTCTCCTACATTGGCGCCTCTCCAGGAGAGCGCCACCGAGTCCGGGGGTGCCGCTGTGGCCACGGAACATCACGGAGGGTCTTTCTAGATGTCGCTATGAGCATCTTAAGCTTCACCTTTCGGATTTGTGTGGCTCTGTGGAACATTGGTACAACTGATACCATGGCTGTGGCTCCCCGGTCAACTCCAGATGTCCTGTGCTTACAAATTCTCCGTTTTGATGAATTCTCAATGCAAACAAAAGGACTCCAGGGAAGATAATACCAGAAAGAGGCATTCCCCGGGGATAAGAACTGTCTCCATGGCAAGTGGTCTGGGCTTCAGGGACGGTGGAGGCCCTGCTTGATGCCCTTCCTTGGGGGTTGTCTGCGTTTCACTGATCAGAGATGCGAGGACAGCTAGAGTGGGGGACAGCCCATTTATAATTAAGGAAAGTCTGGATCACGGGGTCTTCTGATCCCAGCCGTGCCTGCTCGGAGTGTCCGGGTAATCAGGTTTTAAGTGGACTGGGAATGAGCAGGAGTGCCACCCCTGATAGGCAGCTGGATGAACAACCGGGTGTGAGTGCCCACCCTGAGGGGCGCAGGAGGCCCCTTGCAGGGCACGCTGGGGAGGGGACCTCTGCCTTCCTGTCGTCAGCTCCATCACCACCAGGGGGCGTCGCTGTGCAGGCTAGCGGCGCTCACGCCCCTCCTGACACTCTGGCTGTCCTAAGAGCAGTTAGGGTCTCCTCTCCCGTCCTCAGGGTGAAGAAACGGGCAGAAAGAGACTCCCATTGCCTGAGGACCCAGAAGTCTGTGCCGGAGCCGGGGTTCAGGGCTCGCGCGAGGACAAGGCTGCTGGGCGTCGCCTGTGATGTGCCTCAGCTCCACGTCTGTCCCCACGGCGCTCCGCTCCGCAACGGAACCGGTGCTGGGAAACCCAACTTTGGGTTAGGAACCTTCTGTGGTCTGAGTGTC